TGTTTCTTCTTATCGCTTTCCCTTTCTTTTTTTTTTCTTTCATTTTCTAAATACAAATACTACTAACTAAATTAATTCCTATCATAACATTCTACTTTTCATTTTGAAATACAAGTGGAAAAGATTTATTTATTTCGTTCAAACTTGTTTTTTTTTCTCCCTTTGTTCTTATAAGGATTCAATTATGTGTTTTTTCCAGAACAGAAAACACATTTATTTCACTTTCGTCGACCTGGATGTCGGGAAAAGGGCAAAGGTGGATTTTAATGCTTCACTGTATTATATAATAGTGATAATTGCTAATTTAATAGAATTAAACAGACAACATGCAATAAACTAATAAGCAATATGTACATATTATTGGTCGGGAGAAAAAAAAAGGTTATAAATAATGTTTTGCAGTAATGGGGAAGGTGGGAATTTGACAAAATGGCCAGGCTGCTTTTGCCAGCTCTTGTCTTCCACCATCCACCTCTCCACTTTTTTTTTCCCCGCAAATAAACATAAATATTTTATTGTATATGTTATTAGTGAAAAAGTGGAGAATGATTTGATCTCTCACTATCCAACTTAGAAAATTAAATATTTATAAATAAAAAATAAAATCACAATATATTTTATTCAATCAATATAAATATATAAAATATAGAAATAAAATCAAATCTAAATATTACGTTATTTTTTCGAATCTTTTCGGTGTATTTTAATATGTATCCTACAGAAAAAATACCATATTGTTGATAACCAAAACATATAGAACAATATTTCACATGCTGAGTAGACGTTGCTTATTTCTAGATGCTGATTTTCAAATTTCCGAAAAAATTACGTATACTAATTTTATTTAAATTTGGTTTTATTAAAACTAATCATATAAAAAGTATCTTTTTAATTATTTTATACTAAATTATCTTTTATTATGTATAAATATCGGTTTGGAATCAGATAAGAGGTAAAGCTGCGATTCTCTTTTCTTAGATAATATAATAATATATAAATAAGTGGAGCTTATCGCAAAAATCAGAAGAGGACAAAAAACACTTTTTTGAGGAAGATTGGATATGATCTCTTACGAATCTTTCGGAGGCTTCAAAAGAGTCGTAGGCGAAGTTGCCTCGAAACCCAGCTCATGATCACACTTTGACCTTTTATTCCCGTTACAATATATATTTATATATATATAATGAAATAGAATTTTGAATGTTTGAAATATGATTAATATCATTACTTTTTTTACATATATATATATATATTATATTGAAAAATAAAATACGGAAATTAAATTAAAAAGGAAAAACAAAAGATAAAACAACGGGAACACTTTTATTGCTATATCTCTTCTTTTTTCTTACGTTACAATGAAAATAATCCATACATTTATAGGAAAAGTTATTGAAAAAAAACAAGGAAATAAAGATACGAAAGAAACAAATAAGACAAAATATAATTATCACGATATATATTTTATTTTTAATTGATATTATGCCTTTAATTATTATCAATCATATCAAATCTCCATATTTTGTTTCTATTTCAACATATTATACTAATTTGGGAATTATTTCGATGAATTATATACATATATATTATACTAATTTTATTTAAATTTGGTTTTATGATAACTAGTCATTGAAAAAAGTATCTTTTATTATTTTTTTACCAAAAAAATCACTACTTTTTTTTTTGGAAAAAATCACAATTTTCATTCGAATTTTCAAAATATTATTTTTGGCTAACGAACTTTTATTTTTTATTTATTTATTTTATACACCCCTTTTTTTTTATTACGATTCCATATATAATTTGGCTTAGATCTTTCGTCACGACTCACATGGATGGACCGACTTTTTAAAAGTATCTCCTTTGTACCTTTGAACATTCTTTTTATTATATTGAGAAAAAAAAAAAGATTCGCTGATTATTATTATTATTATATGGGGCCTTTCCAAATTTAATGACTCAATCAATCAAAAAGCTTAAATTATTAGATTTATTTTTTCGACACAAAATTATTATATTTGTTTTTATATATCACGGACAAGCCAAATCATTTACCGAAAATCATTGTCTTGTGTACACTATGCAAGGCACTTATAAGCACAATGCAAACCGCTCGGCAATATATATATACACACACACACAATATCTCAAACCATAAAATTTTTTCATGATTCACATAATTGGAGAATTATATTAATATTTAATATTATTTTTGTGCCATTAGTCTCTGCGAAAGTAAATTCGTCTCTTTCTAAAATTTTAAAACCATGTTAAATAACTAAAAAACAATGGTTTGGAAAAATAATGCGGGGATGAATATTAAGGGGAATGTAAATTCAGTTTGCAGAATGATAATTTCAATTCAATCGAGCAATTTGACAAGAAGGCTCGTAGAATATTTGAATAAAATCATAAATACATACATACATACATACATACATACATACATACATACATACATACATACATACATACATACATACGACAACCAAATTTAATTGCCATTTTGGATTGGATCGACTGTGTATAGATTCATATACGATTTTTTTTGTCGTGTTTCTATTATTAAAGGGATGGTGACGCATTGGCGTATACTTATTACATATATCATGTATATGCACATTTAATTTTATATTTCGGATGGATCGACAATCTAATATATTTTCAATTTTCTACACAACTGAAAATTAATTTCAGACGTTGATGAGAAGAAATCTAAATATATTTTGTCATTTGTATAATCACTCAAAATCCCAAAAATTTATACAATATGTATTTTTTAAATTATTCCAAAAAAAAAAGATGATTACTGAGTGGGATATTTTATTTATCCAAATTGGACCATATTTATATAAAATCAGAATTTATAAATAAAAAAATACATATCATTAGACGGTCTAGGGAGTCATACTAGTCTAGGTTTTAGATAGTCTTCGGAAGCGGAGGTGTCGGGGGACACTCGCTCGGGTATAGGTGCATCGAGTCACGATGAGACGTGTTTATGACACACTCGGTAAGGACTCTCTTAGAAAGGTAGGTTCAATGCGCCTTGAACCATGCCCAGAGGGGGAGTCACATGGAAGTTACAGGAATGAACATGCTAGGGTTGGCGTGTAGTTTCTCTTCGTGTTTTTTTTTGCAGGTTTTGTAGAAGAAGGTGGAGATTTGTTAGAAGTCTTCGGCAAATCCTCTAGTGGAAGGAGAAGGTCTTAAAGTATCCAAACGAAGCAGAAGATTTTCCAAAAGCGCGGAGAGGTAAAACGATCTTTTGTAGGATTCCGATATGAGACCTAGGGTTATGTTTTCGTTCCACAAACTGTTTTTGCGGTTCTAAGTTCTTTCTCTCTTTCGATGGTGCGATTCTCGTTCCTCCGTGTGTCGGGGTCGATTTTCCGGTCGATCTCCGGTGGTCCTCTTTGTGTAACCCTAGCAAACACTGTTCCTCTTTCCAAGACGTAGGTACTAAGCGTTAGAGCTCGATACTGAACTCGTAATCTGCTGTGTCGTTTTTTTTTCGTTCTTGAGAGATTGAGAGAGATCGATGAGAGTTTGGAGGTCAAAACCTCTACAATCATGAAAAAGAGATACCTAATGGGTGAAAATCCCATTAAACCCTTTAATCTTAAAATTAATGATTCGAATCTTCTTAACTTTCTCGCATATGAGTTTGTCAATTATAAAATATTTAGACGAGTTTACATCTCTCATGTGGTTTACACACTATTATTATGCTGACAAGATTTATCCGGTGTGCATCCAAAAGCTAATGATCGCAAATTCCGACGTTACAAACCCAAAAAAACAAAAAGAGAAACCTCATGAAAATGGGTCGTGGTCAATTGATCGGAATGTCGAGGGGTGAAACAAACAACTGTTTTTGTTCAGTGGGGACTTTAAATGCCTTTATGTGGGAATGCGAATGCGATGATATGTCAGTCCCAGTTGTCTGTCCCCTCTCTCCTAATTTAAAAAACATGGACCATCTCTCTTACACATGAAAATGATGGGTTTTATTTTATTTTATTTATTAATACGAATTATTTCCCTCCTTATTGGGCCCAAATTAAGGCCCTATTATAACCGTAAATGGGCCGTTGTATCAGTTTCATCTGTCATTGTGTTCTTTCAGTAATCCATGAAATGGGCTTTATAGCCCCATTATGACGATCATGTTGGATTGAAATTTATTGAAATTAAGGCCCTATTATAACCGTAAATGGGTCGTTGTATTACTTTTGTTTTTTTTTTTTTTCTCAAATTAGAATTATTCAATTTAATTTATAATGAAATATTTCCACCAATAAATTAATGGTTCGTTTCTATTTCTTTTTTTATTCTTTAAATTGTTTTTTTTTTCTCTCGCCCCAATTAATTAGCTAACGGGACGGGAATTCGACGCACACATCTGAGCGAGAGGGGACTCAGATCTACACGTCGACAGTTGTTTCCGAGTGTAAACCCCCCCTCCCTGTCTCTCTGTCGCGCGATCTCTATAGGTTTCCAATCCATGCCGACGCTTGTCTGGTAAATGCTGCTGACAATCGATCGACGTGACGTTGTTCTGAATCGCTTCCTTTGTGTACTGATCTGATCTGAGGTGGTTTTCTTTCTCACTGTCTCCTGAGAATCTTGTTTTCTAATCCCATTTCTCTGAGGTGTTCAGATCTATCCTCAATTTCAAACGGGTTAGGTTTTCCGCGGGGTGATTTTGTAGTTGATCCGCTCGGTT